CTCTAGGAGGAGATTCAGGTGATAAGGTGTGTGTGTGTGTGTGTGTGTGGGGGGGGGGGGTGATTGGCTAATGGTTACACAAGCCAAAGTAACTTTGTGACATCATAAAGTGGCCAAAATCTGATCAGCTCATTTTCAGACAGGTTTTTATATAAATGGATCAGGACAAAAAGTGAGAGAATCTTTTTTTTCCTGAAACTTTCAGAATCTCTTTACACAGAGGGGACACATGTTGATGTATATCCATCCATCCATCTTCTCCCGCTTATCCGTGGTCGGGTCGCGGAGGGTAACAGTTCCAGCAGAGAGCCCCAAACTTTCCTTTCCCTGGCCACATCAACCAGCTCTGACTGGGGGATTCCAAGGCACTCCCAGGCCAGCGAAGAGATATAATCCCTCCACCTGGTCCTAGGTCTACCCCTCGGTCTCTTCCCAGCTGGACGTGCCTGGAACACCTCCCCAGGGAGGCGCCCAGGTGGCATCCTTACTAGGTGCCCGAACCACCTCACCACCTGGCTCCTTTCGACGCAAAGGAGGAGCGGTTCAGCTCCGAGTCCCTCCCGGCTGACTGAACTTCTCACCTTATCCCTAAGGGAGACGCCAGCCACCCTGCGGAGAAAACCCATCTCAGCCGCTTGTATCCGCGATCTCGTTCTTTCGGTCATGACCCATCCTTCATGACCATAGGTGAGGGTAAGAACGAAAATGGCCCGGTAGCTTTGCCTTCTGGCTCAACTCTCTTTTCGTCACAACGGTGCGGTAAAGCGACTGCAGTACCGCTCTCGCTGCTCCGATTCTCCGGCCCATCTCACGCTCCATTGTTCCCTCACTCGAGAACAAGACCCCGAGATACTTGAACTCCTTCACTTGGGGTAAGGACTCATTCCCTACTTGGAGTGGACAGTCCATCGGTTTCCTGCTGAGAACCATGGCCTCAGATTTGGAGGTGCTGATCCTCATCCCAGCCGCTTCACACTCGGTTGCGAACCGATCCAGTGAGTGCTGAAGGTCGCAGACCGATGAAGCCATTAGAACCACATCATCTGCAAAAAGCAGTGGTGCAAACCTTAGTCCACCGAACTGCAGACCCCTTCCCCCACGACTACGCCTCAAAATCCTATCCATGAATATTACAAACAGGATTGGTGACAAAGCGCAGTCCTGGCGGAGGCCAACCCTCACTTTCCCGGGGAGGCTGAGTAGTGTGATGCCTCTATAATTGGCACACACCCTCTGATCCCCCTTTTTGAAAAGGGGAACCACCACCCGGTCTGCCACTCCTTCAGTACTGTTTCCGACTTCAACGCAACGTTGATGAGACGTGTCAACCATGACAGTCCCTCAACACCCAGAGCCTTCAGCATTTCTGGGCGGATCTCATCCACCCCCGGGGCTTTGCCACTGTGGAGTTGTTTGACTATCTCAGTGACCTCCCCCCGGGAGATTGGTGTTGATCCCCCCTCATACTCCAACTCTGCCTCTACCATAGAGGGCGGAGTTGTCGGGTTCAGGAGTTCCACAAAGTGTTCCTTCCAACGCCCTAACACTCCATCAGTTGAGGTCAACAGCGTCCCATCCTTACTGTACACAGCTTGGATGCTTCCCTGCTTCCCCCTCCTGAAGTGTCGGACAGTTTTCCAGAACAACTTTGGTGCCGCCCGAAAGTCCTTTTCCATGGCTTCTCCGAACTTCTCCCACACCCGCTCCTTTGCCTCGGCCACGGCTGAGTCTGCTGCCCTTCGGGCCTGTCGGTACCTTGCAACTGCTCGGGACTCCCCCGGGATAACATATCCCTGAAGGCCTCCTTCTTCAGTCGGACGGCTTCCCTGACCACCGGTGTCCACCAGGAGGTTCGAGGGTTACCGCCCCTTGAGGCAACTAAGACCTTGAGACCAGAGCTCCCTGCCACGGCTTCGGCAATAGAGGCTTTGAACACCGCCCACTCTGGTTCAATGTCCCCAGCCTACACAGGGATGCCCGAAAAGCTCAGCCGGAGGTATGAGTTGAAGGCCTCCTGAACTTGGGCCTCCTCCAGACGTTCCCAGTTCACCCGCACTACACGTTTGGGCTTACCAGGTCTGTCCAGAGGCTTCCCCCGCCACTCGACCCAACTCACCACCAGATGGTGATCAGTTGACAACTCCGCCCCTCTCTTTACCCGAGTGTCCAAAACATACGGCCTCAGGTCCGATGATACGATAACGAAATCGATCATGGACCTTCTGCCTAGGGTGCTCTGGTACCATCTACACTTATGAGCATCCTTATGTTCGAACATGGTGTTTGTTATGGCCAATCCATGACTAGCACAGAAGTCCAGTAACAAACCACCACTCCGGTTCAGATCAGGAGGACCGTTCCTCACAATCAAGTGTCTCCAAGTGTCTCCATCATTGCCCACATGTGCGTTGAAGTAGGGCTGCTCAATTAATCATATTTTAAATCGCAATTACGATTATGGCTTGCAACGATTACGAAAACAACGTAATCGAAATAAAACCATTATTTTCTTTATTATTATTACTTTTTTAATAAAAAAAATGTTGTATTGGTTTTTCAGTTTAATTATACTTTAAGTTCAGGGTAATCAACTGTTAAAAACATACTGTTAAAAAAAAATGTCTCCAATAAATTGATGTTTTCAAAGTAAATAATAATCGTTTATAATAATCGTGATATCAATTATTGACCCAAATAATCGAGATTATGATTTTTGCCATAATCGAGCAGCCCTACGTTGAAGTATCCCAGCAAGATTAAAGAGTTCTCTTTCCAGGGTCTCCAAGAAGGCCGAATACTCTGAACTGCTGTTTGGTGCATAAGCACACACAACAGTCAGAGTTTTCCCCCCCATAACCCGCAGGCGTAGGGCCCTCTCGTCCACTGGGGTAAACTCCAACAAAGAAGCACCCAACCGGGGGCTTGTGAGTATCCCCACACCCGCCCGGCGCCTCACACCTTGGGCAACTCCTGAGAAGAATAGAGTCCAACCCCTATCCAGAAGTAAGGTTCCAGAGCCCAACCAGATCCAACTGGTAACGCTCCACCTCCCGCACAAGCTCCGGCTCCTTCCCCCCCAGAGAGGTGACGTTCCACGTCCCGAAAGCCAGCTTCTGTCGCCCGGGTCTGGTCCGTCGAGACCCTCTGCTTTCACTGCCACCCTTCTGGCAGCGCACCCGACCCCATCGCCGTTTCCCCTAGGTGGTGGGCCCGCGGGACGGAGAAGCGGAGGTGTTGCCCACGTTGCCTTTTCAGGGCTGTGCCCGGCCGGGCTCCGTGGCTCCAGAAGGGGACCCCGGGCTTCCTCCGGGCCAGGTATCCTCACTTCCTGTGTCTTCTTTCATGAGGTCTTTGAACCAATCTTAGTCTGGCCCCTTGCCTGAGACCAATTTGCCATGGGAGACCCTACCAGGAACACAAGGTTCCAGACAACACAGCCCCCAGGTTCATCAGGGCACACAAACCTCTCCACCACGGTAAGGTGCTGGTTCTTCAGAGAGATGTTTATGTATAAAAGACATGAAAACGTGGATTTTGCACAATAGGTGACCTTTAAGTAAATGTATATTATTCTTTATAACTAATTAATACTCCTCAAGTCGTATATTTCAAAGGCTCTTATGTTGAATCCTGAAGATTTAATGAGCGGGAACAGCGTGACTTACAGATTGACTGGTCTAGAACGGCGAGAACAAAAAGACAGTTTATGCCACCTTATGAATAAAAACATGAAGTGGGAGCAGACTGAGTGATGAGCTGGGAGGGGGGGCGGTCACCCAATGTCATCCTTCTGGACCAGTCTTGCACAATTTCGAAGGCAAACACAATCCATCAAGAGTGGAGAGTGTGGCATGCTGACAAAGCAACACAATGGAGAAAACACACACACACACACACACACACACACACACAACCTCCCCCTATGAGTCATTACTGCACATCAATCCCTGTCACGTCTCTGCTGTGTCATTTTCTTTCTGACCTGACGTGCAGTGATGACAGTATTTTGTCATCATAATGACATAATTCAACACGTCGGACTGAAGTTCTGTGCAGAAGTTCACAATAGAAGCGGGAACTTTCCGACACTGTATGTATGATCTGGTTCTGTTCAGTAACTCCTTTGATTTATTACGGGACAGATCTCTGTTGTTTTCAGTTGTTATGGTTGCCGTGACTCCAGAAGTAGCTGAGGCTCCAGATATCAAAGTTTGGGTAAGTGCTATGTTAGAGATAGCATCAGTCTGTGCACAGTGGACAGGTACTGCCGGAATAGATTTCAAGCATAGATAAGAACCTCTTTTGAATAAAACGTATTTCAATTTAATTTAACTATTTTTTGTATTATAATTGTGTCTCCTGTAACACTGAAATTATATAAAATGATGGTAGAGATTTAGTTAATGCTGTGTTAAAATCAACAAGCTACAAAACCTATTTCAAAACAAGACAATAACAAATAAAAGTATGGTTTGTAGAGTGCATAAAATCAGCCTAAGAAAAACATATTTATAAAGTAGTACATTTGAACTGCAAACAGAGTCACAGTGGTACTTATCAACAAATGAACTTCACTTGTCATTGTTGCTTCTACTCTTTCCAATCTCCCTAGTTCCAGTCAGCTTTTATGATGATAAATGTACAATCGAATTTTACTTATATAGCCCAGCATCATGAATTAAAAATATGTCTTTACAATCTGTTATGCAAACAACATTTTCTGGCATTTAACGGGAAAAAACTAAAGAATGCCAACAGAGTGTAACATATCAGTCCTGAGCAATATGGGCATTTTACACCGAGACAGGTGAAAACAAAGTTCTAGTTGAACAAATTCAACCCTTAATATTGAAATGTATGACAGTATGAGGGAAAAACCAACTGTAGGACCCTTAATCAAACCCTTATTTTTCTCACCAGCTACCTCTGTTGTTCCTAAACCCAGCAGCACAGCAGTGATTGACTGGAACTCATGCTTCAGCTAACACTGGAGTACTCACTGTGTAGTTTGGGTTTCCCGCCTGCACCCTCAGCTCAGCCAGCACCCAGATGCCGTTGGTGAGCTTCATCGACTGATACAGCATGTCCTGTCCCTCCACGGTACGCTTAGCTATGGTGAAGATGTTGCTACCTTGCAGTTTGTTGGAGGCTGCATCTGTTGTAGGAACATAATAATCAAACATTAAAGGGGACCTATCATGCAAAATGCACTTTTGTACGTCTTTTATACATGAATATGTGTCCCCGGTGTTCCAGGGAACTCTCCAAGTGTCAGAAAACACAACCCTCTCTATTTTCCTCCATACCCAAATCTCTAAAAAAGGGGCTGCAACGGATCTGATAAAAACTAATCCAGATTTGAACACAGGACAGTGGCGCTACGGCTATTGGGCCAACTCCACCAATCAGGAGGAGACAGCCACGACCATTGCCGTTCGAAAGCGCTGGAGACGCTGTAGTACATATGCCAGGCCTGTAGATGGTGCTGTTCTCACAGAATCTGCCCTTGCAAAAACAGAGGCATGGCTAAAATGCATGATCTGTTTGGTATTTTGAAAAAAAAAAAGTATAAATATGCCTTATATAGGTATGGTCCTACACTATATTATTCAAATATAGCATGATAAGTCCACTTTAAGAAGAGTCAAATTGTTAAATGTTTCCCTGCAGTTACACTTTCCATTTTTAGTATTAGATTAAATGTTCCAGAGAATGAAGGATTTATTTGTATTATGTCATCCATTGAAACATCACTCCAGACAAAGACTTAGTCTAAGAAAGTAATTCAGAACTAAGTTTCCTCCTCAGCCTCCGTCTAGCCACTGCTTCCCAGAAGGATGTTAAAGTCTCTCTCTTTGTTCATGAAAAATAAATGTAATCTGTGAGGGGAAATCTCCATTAAGCTGTCATTAGGAATTCTCCTCCAGTTCAGCTGTTCTCACGCTTGTCTAAAACTGAATTATCACACGTAAATAGGTATGGTAGGGACTGCAGCTGATGAGTTCTCATTAAAGGTGTTTTGCTTCATTAGCGTGTATCTGAATTTGCTCCTGCTCCTCACATTCAGCAGCAGGATATGGCTGCACTGTGTAGTGAATTCAGGAGTAACTCTCTGTTCCCTTTCCTCCCGTCTCACCTGAGTTGAGATGGCAGTCTTTGATCTGAAACTGGGACTCGTTCTCATTAGGAATGTCTTTCCATGTGGCGAGGAACACCTGTCGCTCTGCGGACAAGAGACACAATCACTGTTAGACAGACTGAAACGCACACCGTATCAGAATTAAAATAAAAACAGTTTGATGCTCTGTATTGTATTGCCGTCTATTTATACGGTTTAAACCCGATATTTATGCACAGTTGCGGATAAAGATTAGGATACACTTATATTATCGTTTCATTTGTATGATTAGTTTCTGAGTTGTGTAATCCAAACATTTCCAAACACTCAAGAGCGTTGTTAAGCCCAAAAGTCAAAATGTATTGAATAACGACAGATATTATCATTTCCATCATTCATATCATGATTTTATCAAACACAATATTCCACTTCAATCCATATTTGTTGGCCTTAATCTTTTCAAAATCAACATTTTTACTGAAAACTCTCCTGCTCCTGTAATAATGTGGCAGTCAAGCAGAAATCTAAATTACGTTTATATAACTACACTAATCCGATGAATCTCTTCATCCAAATAGACGATTGTTTGTTTGTTTTTAAAGGTGAAGAAGCTTCTAATGTAAATTTGTCAAAGCCCTAGAAAATTGTTTGATTCCACATTAAACAAAAAGGTTCCCAGCTGCGCTTTTGAGGCTCCACCGGGAGAAAGGGCATCGTGTTTCAACAGATTAAATCAAAACACATCAAAAGGGAACTATTGGCACGGGTGAACAATGTAGGAGCGACGGTGCAGCACACAAGGTGAACGAGTGCAGGCGCGCGCACACACACACGCACCTACGTCACACGCACCTACGTCACACGCACGCGCCTACGTCACACGCACGCACCTACGTCACCTACGTCACACACTGCTACACATCGTCAGTACAGCCTCAACAACAAGGCTGATGAGTGTGTTGGTGACGTCAACTGGTTAGAGTGAAGAGGTTTATCGGGGACACACTCACCCATCTTCCCGTCCTCCAGGAACAGCATGCTGATGGGGTACTGGCAGCTGAAGTAGAATACGTCAATGTTGTTCTTCACAGCCACCTGCGAGGGTCCAGGGGGGGGGGGGGAGGACGACGGGAGGAGAAACAAGAAGCAGAACACGGGTAATTACTTTACAAGTGCCCTTCAAGGATTGGCAATGCTGGGGACTGCGTGCTGTTTACTGAACAAGAGGGCAACCATCCTCTGGGTGTAATGCTCTCTCACAAACACAATCACAGACAGGCAATAATGTATCCTCAATGTTCATAACCTCCCTCCTGTCATATTGTGTCTCACAGTCTTTATATGCCATTAATATCAACTTAACTTACAAGCTAGATATATAAAGATAACAACTTCCACAAAAAGCCTTTAGGATACGGTTATTTTTATCGGATATGAATAAAAATAGACGAGATAAGAATAGCAGACAGACAGTGATTAAAAATAAAATACTAAAAAGAAAAAAAGACAAAACAACTGATAAGATAAGATAGCACATAACAGAAGTCTATATCTAAAAAAAGAAAGTAAGTTGTCAGCTCCTCAGAGAGGAACCGTAACAGTCTGTGGGCCCTGGTGGCAGAAGAACAAGACACTGAAACACGAGAACAACTGGGGTTTGGTGTGATATCGATCGGCTGCTCAACGGACAAGTGCTGACAGAAGGACAGAGAGTTCAGCCAGAGGAGAGCAAAATAATGACTTTTTATGAATCATTTATTAGAGCGTCTTGTTCCTGGGTGCAATGCAGGACTGCCAGTAAACGGCAAATGATACACAGACGATATAAAGCTTCTCTGTGTGTTTGTAAACTAAAAGAGCTCTGCTATAAAAAGTATAATTATGAGGAGGTTAGCTGACATACTTTATAAGATGAATTAGTGTGGCACCTAACGCAGGAAAAAGTCATACATTATAAAGACACAGCTGTAACAATGTCTTCTAGTTTCTACTGCAAGAGGTCTGATTTAGCCCCTCAAGTGACAGTGGTGGATTTATTGATCAATTACATAGAACGTTTTACTACCACACCTCAGCAGGCCAACACAAGCTAGGGATAGACTAATCCTTCCGTACCAATAAGATGTCAAAATTCAGAAAATGTGAGACTACGTGTTTTTCTACAGTAGCTGCAAGATCACAGATATATATTTTTTTAGCTAGTTGAATCAATATTGAATTTTGAATAGAGAATCGTGGAATTTCACTGGTATTGGTGTTGACAACAACATTTCTGGTATTGTGACATTCCTAGTAAACAACAGACCCTCAAAATAATATTCTGTGACATTAATATCTTTCATCAACACAATAAAAAGTCTGAGAATGAAAGGTCTGTTGGAGCAGCCGATAGAAACATCAAAGCCGGTCTGGAGGCAGCAGAAAGGTTAGCAGGGCTCCTGAGGCCGAAGGAAACAAAGGGGCCGTGTGCACTAATGACTCCCCCCCCCCCCCCCCGCCCCCTCTATCAGCCGGCTCAACACTCTTATCTCCTCTTTCCAGCTGCACACACACCCCCCCCCCCCCCGCTTCCTCAGCTGTACCCAATTAAAAGAAACACCCTGATCAAAAACAAGCCATCCTCTGCCCCTTCTCTTTATTTACAACTTATCATAACCGCTCCTGAGGTTGTTTCATGTTTTAATTCGGTTTTATTCGCAACAGGGGGATTCCACAGTAAAGCTGAATAACAGTGAGGATACATCACTTATCTCTTCAGACACATGGTCAAATCGACCAAGAAACACCTTCATGTCCCAAAGAGGAACAGCCAGGGCCGTGAATATTCCAGCCATGAAGCATTTTGACGTTTTAATTCTGTACTCAGGATAATTAAAAGATAAATGTCTAAGAAGTTCAATTCTGCCTATTTTAAGGTATTCTGGTTATTTTGGAATTTGACTTTATTATTCTAAAGTAAGAATTGACCGATTATGGGCCACTATATAAGCATTTTATATTATAGTAAGTATTGTTGTGTTTTATATGCAATACAGTAAATTAATTGAACATGTGCTCCTCTGACCTGTAGCCCACAGCACATATGCTTGAATGCATTTAGGTTTGATGATGTGTTATTCCACATTTTCACCCTAAGATTTAAATGCTTTACTGCAAAACTCAACCCTGAAAACACCTAATTGTTGGCAGTTCATCACAAACTGCTTTGGCTGCTTACCCAGTCTTCATTTATGCAGTCACAAAATGTGTGAGGGGTGAATTGGCAAACATTACATAGTGCTTCAAAACTGTACTTGACCCCTGACAATTATGTTGCTAACAATTCACATCATTGTGACGAGCGTAATGCTCCAAAATTCAGTCCATAAATGAAAACTAGAAGTAGCAGGGATGCAATGCTAGCGTTAAAAGAATAGCACAGTCACATACAATCCAGGGGAAATGAATATCCTGAAGGGGTTACCTGCAGGTTGTTGAGCGGCTCCATCTTCATGACGGGCCCCACGGTGCTGAGCGGCAGCGCGGCCTCAATGCTCTGGTTTGGACTGATGGGAGTGAGGATCTGGAGGGGACCAGCCGGAGCCAGACCAAAGCTACAGGGCAGCGAGGAGGGGAAACCAGAGTCACAACAGGTGTACTTATACAGGAATATCAGCACTTTCTTAGTCGGCGATCCTACCTGTTTCTGTTGAACTGGATGGCAAAATCAC